AATCACAAGCGTCCTTTTAGATGTGAGAGAGGGAAGCAGAAGAGGCAGTCAGAGTAAAGCGATATGAAAACCTGAGCAGCTACTACTGGCCTTGACGATAGAAAAACGGATGTGACACAGGAATGTGGGCAGCTTCTAGAAGCTGGAAAGTGGCCGGGTGCGGTGGCTCAAACCTGTAATCCCAGTACTTTGGGAGGCTGAGGCGGGTGGATCCCTTGAGGTCAGGAGTTGGAGACCAGCCTAGCCAACATGGTGAAACCCTGTCTCTACCAAAAATATGAAAATTAGCCGGGTGAGGTGGTGGCTTGTGTAAGCCCAGCTACTTGGGAGGCTGAGGCAGAAGAATCATTTGAACCTGGGAGGTGGAGGTTGCGGTCAGCGAGATCGTGCGATTATACTCCATCCTGGGTGACAGAGTGAGACTGTCTTAAAAAAGAAAAATAAAAAATTCCAGAAATAATTTATTAGTTTAAAATTGTGTACCATTCTGAATAGCATGATGAAATCTTGTGCCACCTGGGCAGGGTGGCTCACGCCTGTAATCCCAGCACTTTGGGAGGCCGAGGCATGGGGATCACCTGAAGTCAGGAGGTTGAGACCAGCCTGGACAACATGGTAAGAATCACTTGAAACCTGGAGGCGGAGGTTACAGTGAGCCAAGATCGCTCCACTGCACTGCAGCCTGGGCGAAAGAGCAAGACTTCATCACACACAAAAAAAGAAATCTTGTGCCATCCCACTCTGTCCCCACCAGGACATAAATCATCCTTTGTCCAATGTATTAACATTTGTTAAGTGTTTATTATGTTCTAGGGACTTTACATTATAATACTTACACCCCTAAGAGAGAGATGCTATTATATACTATTCCTATTTTACTGAGCAAGACAATTCAGCTTCAGAAAGATCAAGGAACTTAGCAATGTCACTCAGCTGGTGAGCATACTGCTTCCAAAAACCTTTACTCCTGTGTCACTTTGCCATGGATACCAAAACTTTTTCTCTAACCGGTCCTTGAAGCCTTGTCAGCTCTCTGACAGCCTCTAAGAATATTTGTTGGCTTTCTTTCTGTACTGGGGTATGACAGAGACTATATGTTCGCTAAAACCCACTTCTTTTCTTTTCTTTCTTTCTTCCTTTTTTTTTTTTGAGACAGTCTCACTGTCACCCAGGCTGGAGTGCGGTGGCACAATCTCAACTCACTGCAACCTCTACCTCCTGGGTTCAAGTGATTCTCTTACCTCAGCCTCCGTAGTAGCTGTGATTACAGGCATGGGCCACCACACCTGGCTAATTTTTCTTTTTATTTTTTTTGAGACAGAGTTTTGCTGTTGTTACTTAGGCTGGAATGCAATGGTGCGATCTTGGTTCACTGCAACTTCCGACTCCCAGGATCAAGCAATTCTTCTGCCTCAGTCTCCTGAGTAGCTGGGATTACAGGCATGTGCCACCATGCTCGGCTAATTTTGCATTTTTAGTAGAGATAGGGTTTCACCCTATTGGTCAGGCTGGTCTTGAACTCCCAACCTCAGGTGATCTGCCTGCCTCGGCCTCCCAAAGTGCTGGGATTACAGGCGTGAGCCACCATCCCCAGCCACCTGAGCATTATTATTATTATTATTATTATTATTTATTTTTTTTTTTTTTTTTGAGACGGAGTCTTGCTCTGTCGCCCAGGCTGGAGTGCTGTGGCCGGATCTCGTCTCACTGCAAGCTCCGCCTCCCAGGTTCACGCCATTCTCCTGCCTCAGCCTCCCGAGTAGCTGGGACTACAGGCGCCCGCCACTTCGCCCGGCTAGTTTTTTTGTATTTTTTAGTGGAGACGGGGTTTCACCGTGTTAGCCAGCATGGTCTCGATCTCCTGACCTCGTGATCCACCCGTCTCGGCCTCCCAAAGTGCTGGGATTACAGGCTTGAGCCACTGTGCCCGGCCCTGAGCATTATTATTTTAAGATTTTTTTGCCAAGGTAGTCTAAGACTTGGATTTTTGTTGGGCTGAAAAAGGAAAAAAAACATTAAGCAAAAATAACTGAACGAGATATGGGCTTAATAAAAATTTGAGGCCGGGCGCGGTGGCTCAAGCCTGTAATCCCAGCACTTTGGGAGGCCGAGACGGGCGGATCACGAGGTCAGGAGATCGAGACCATCCTGGCGAACACGGTGAAACCCCGTCTCTACTAAAAAAAATACAAAAAACTAGCCGGGCGAGGTGGCGGGCGCCTGTAGTCCCAGCTACACAGGAGGCTGAGGCAGGAGAATGGCGTAAACCCGGGAGGCGGAGCTTGCAGTGAGCTGAGATCCGGCCACTGCGCTCCAGCCCCGACGACAGAGCGAGACTCCGTCTCAAAAAAAAAAAAAAAAAAAAAAAAAAAAAAAAAAAAAAAAAAAAAAATAAAAATTTGAATTTTTGTTTTACTCTTGGTAGCATTCATATAACTTAGAAACCGTGAAATCTAGTTTTAAACCTAAAACCAAGGCAAGTGACATATTTCTGTTCTCAGACTGGATGGGAACCCAAAACATATTTAGTTAGTGGTGAAACCAAAGACTGAAAAAAAAACTGTCACAGAATCTCTCCCTATGTTCAGGCAGCAAAAGTGGAGGACTCATTGCTTATTCCTCTCTCAGACAAGCTGGACCCTACAAATGCATAAAGCTAAACCTTGTTGCCACCTCAGTACATAAAGTATAACATTTTGTTTCAATGTCTATGTCTTTTTTTTTTTTTTTTTTTTTGAGATGGAGTCTCGCTCTGTCACCCAGGCTGGAGTACAGTGGCTGGATCTCAGCTCACGGCAAGCCCCGCCTCCCAGGTTCACGCCATTCTCCTGCCTCAGCCTTCCGAGTAGCTGGGACTACAGGCGCCCGCCACCTCGCCCGGCTAGTTTTTTTAATTTTTTAGTAGAGACGGGGTTTCACCGTGTTAGCCAGGATGGTCTCGATCTCCTGACCTCGTGATCCACCCGTCTCAGCCTCCCAAAGTGCTGGGATTACAGGCTTGAGCCACCGCGCCTGGCCTCAATGTCTATGTCTTGTAAGACATTAGCCTGGTTCCTCGAACAGATTACTAGTTGTGTGTGTGTGTGTGTGTGTGTATGTATTTTTCTTTCTCTTTGGATTTTCCACTTCCACCCCCAAATTACCCATTTCACTTTCTACATTCTTCATCACACAGCCCTTTCTTCTCGTTCTTTTCATTTATCTAGAGCAAAGAAAATGCTAACCAAATCCCTGATACAAGAAAATTACACATATACCTACTATTTTTTTCAAAAATAGAAAAAGAGGGCCGGGCGCGGTGGCTCAAGCCTGTAATCCCAGCACTTTGGGAGGCCGAGACGGGCGGATCACTAGGTCAGGAGATCGAGACCATCCTGGCTAACAGGGTGAAACCCCGTCTCTACTAAAAAAAATACAAAAAAAAGCTAGCCGGGCGACGTGGCGGGCGCCTGTAGTCCCAGCTACTCGGGAGGCTGAGGCAGGAGAATGGCGTAAACCCGGGAGGCGGAGCTTGCAGTGAGCTGAGATCCGGCCACTGCACTCCAGCCCGGGGACAGAGCGAGACTCCGTCTCAAAAAAAAAAAAAAAAGAAAGAAAAAGAGGCCCGGTGCAGTGACTTACACCTGTAATCCCAGCACTTTGGAGGCCGCAGCAGGTGGATCACCTGAGGTCAGGAGTTCGAGACCAGCATGGCCAACAGGGTGAAACCCCGTCTCTACTAAAAATACAAAAATTAGCTAGGCATGGTGGTGGGTGCCTGAAATCCCAACTACTTGGGAGAATCACTTGAACCCAGACGGTGAAGGCTACAGTGAGCCAAGATCGCACCATTACACTGCAGCCTGGGCAACAAGAGTGAAACTCTGTCTCAAAAAAAAAAAAAAGAAAACAGAAAATCACAAGTAATTTGTTTTTTGTTTTTTTTTTTTTTCGAGATGGAGTCTCACTCTGTCGCCCAGGCTGGAGTGCAGTGGCGCGATCTTGGCTCAGTGCAAGCTCTGCCTCCCGGGTTCATGCCATTCTCCTGCCTCAGCCTCCCGAATAGCTGGGACTACAGGCGCCCGCTACCCTGCCCGGCTAATTTTTTGTATTTTTAGTAGAGATGGGGTTTCACCGTGTTAGCCAGGATGGTCTCGATCTTCTGACCTCGTGATCTGCCCGCCTCGGCCTCCCAAAGTGCTGGGATTACAGGTGTGAGCCACTGCACCCAGCCTGTAAGTTTTTATTGATTTATAAGTTGTTATGATTTATCTTCTTTAAAATATAACAAAATAGCCAGTAAGATACTGTATCCGATCAAGTTTTTGAAATCACTAAATTATAAAAATTATATAAATGGAAGACATTAATCTATGATATATGTTTTATTTTGTGGAAAAGAATGCTGTTTTTGGAATTTCTTTCATATAGTAAATATTTAAAATTGGATTAAGCTAGGAAAACAACTGAAAATAGCTATTCAAAATACAAAAATTTGTTCTCTAATTTTTCTAAAGTCATGAGTACACAATCTCACAAGGAACCATGGAAGACACTGATAAAAGTCAGTAAAATAACTCAAGCTGGGCATGGTGGCTCATACCTGTAATCCCAAAGACCTGGAGGTGGAAGGATTGCTTGAGGCCAGGAGTTTGAGACCAGGCTGGGCAACATAGTGAGACTCGTCTCTAAAAAAATGTGAAAAAAAAGATAGCCAGGCCTGGTGGCCCATATCTGTAGTTCCAGTTAGTTGGGATGCTAAGGCAAAAAGATCACTTGAGCCCAGGAGTTTGAGGCTGCAGTGACCTATGATTGTGCTACTGCACTTCAGCCTGGGCAACAAAGCAAGACCTTGTCTCTTAAAAAAAAAAAAAAATCACTCAGAACGAGGCCATGTTTGTGGAACAATGAATGAAAAATAACCCACATCCAGACATGTGATGGTGAATTTTCAGAACACCTTGACTGAAGGGATAACCCTGAAAACAACCAGAGAGGAAAAATAATCCACATTCAAAGAATTGGGTGTCAGAACAGTATATTGGACTCTTCAATGCAAACTGATGCCAGAAGACAGTGGATGCCTTTAACATTTTGAAGGATGATGACTTTCAATTTAGAATTCTATATCTTGCTATACTATCAATCAAGCATGAGAGTGGAACAAAAACATTTTTAGATATATAATTACTCAAATGATACATCCTAGGCACCTTTTCTTGGAGACACACTACAAGGATATGCTTTAGCAAAATAAAGAAATAAGCAAGAAAGAAATAGACATGGAATCCAGGAAACATGGCTGCAACTCTGGAGACCCGGAAAGGGCAGTCCCAGGAAAACAGCTACTACAGGTCGGTAAAGTAACTAGACCAGGCTGCAGCAGGGAGATGGAGGTCTCTGGCCAGGAGGCAAGGAAGTATACAGAACTTCCCAGTTTCATCATGACTTTTTGCTGTATACACATGTGTTTAGTAACATTTACATTAATATTTACAGTTATATCCTGTCTTGAATTGTCCTCACCACCACCTGGATGCATTCCTACCCAAGCAAGTCCCCCCATTACTGTGTACATACCGCTATTGTAGCATGCATTACAGGGCCTCATCAGCATTTATGTGTCTGTCTCCACAGTTTAAGATGTGAGCTTTAAGAGGGCCAGCGCCTGGCCGGGTGCGGTGGCTCATGCCTGTAATCCCAGCACTTTGGGAGACCGAGGCGGGTAAATCACTTGAGGTCAGGAGATCAAGACCATCCTGGCCAACATGATGAAACCCCATCTCTACTACAAATACAAAAATTAGCTGGGTGTGGTGGTGTGTGCCTGTAGTCCCAGCTACTCAGGAGGCTGAGGCAGGAGAATTGCTTGAACTTCCCAGTTTCATCATGACTTTTTGGAGGTTGCAGTGAGTGAAGATCGTGCCACTGCACTCCAGCCTGGCGACAGAGTGAGACTGTCTCGAAAAAAAAAAAAAGAAAAAAAAAAGGGCCAGGGCCATGCAATTCATCTTGATTTTCTCAGCATCCAGCAGAGAGCCTCAGTGGAGAGTGAAAGATTCTTGTATCAGTTCCAACCCCGAGAGCGTGCCAGCAGACAGCATGAGGTGGTGCAGAGCAATATGCTGTTTTAATTAACGCCTGGGTGCCCACAGGCTGAGGCCTAAAATGGCGTCTGGACCAAAAGAGGACGGGGCAGGGCTTTTATAGTCTCCTGTAAACAGGAAGTGTCTCAGTCTGATGTAACTGCTAGGCGGTACCCGGACGGCCTCCCTCTTGATCTTCATGGGGTATTTGTCTTCCAACCAGGGTAGGCGTCTTCTGGCCGGCTGTCTTCCTGCTTCTGCTATCTTGCTGACACATGCTGCTGGTGCAAGTGGCCTTGAGCCTTGGGACTGGGCCTGAAAAGGGAGGAGATACTCATCCTTCAAGCTTTTAGGCCCCTGGGGAGAAGCGGATAATTTTTTTTTTTTTTTTTTTTTTTTTGAGAGAGAGAGTATTGCTCTGTCACCCAGGCTGGAGTACAGTGGTGTGGTCTTGGCTCACTGCCAGCTTCGCCTCCCGGGTTCACGCCATTCTCCTGCCTCAGCCTCCCAAGTAGCTGGGACTACAGGCGCCCGCCACCATGCCCGGCTAATTTTTTGTATTTTTAGTAGAGACGGAGTTTCACTGTGTTAGCCAGGATGGTCTCGATCTCCTGGCCTCATGATCCGCCTGCCTCGGCCTCCCAAAGTGCTGGAATTACAGGTGTGAGCCACTGTACCTGGCCCAATAATTTTTAATTTTTAAGTTTTTTTTTTTTTTTTTTTCAGACAGAGTCTTGCTCTGTCGCCAGGCTGGAGCTCACTGCAACCTCTGCCTCCCGGGTTCAAGCAATTCTCCTGTCTCAGCCTCCCGAGTAGCTGGGGTTACAGGTGTCGGCCACCAGGCCGGCTAATTTTTTAAATTTAATTTATTTATTTTGTTTATTTATTTATTTTGAGACAGAGTCTCGCTCTGTCACCCAGGCTGTAGTGCAGTGGTGCAATCTCGGCTCACTGAAAACACTGCCTCCCAGGTTCACGCCATCCTCCTGCCTCAGCCTCTCAAGTAACTGGGACTACAGGTGCCCACCACCATGCTGGGCTAATTTTTTTTTTGTAGTTTTAGTAGAGATGGGGTTTCACTGTGTTAGCCAGGATGGTCTCGATCTCCTGACCTTGTGATCCACCCACCTCGGCCTCCCAAAGTGCTGGGATCACAGTTGTGAGCCACCACGCCTGGTCTAATTTTTGTATTTTTAGTTGAGACACGGTTTCAACATGTTGACCAGGCTGGTCTCAAATTCCTGACCGCAGGTGATCCTCTCACCTCAGCCTCCCAAAGTGCTGGGATTATAGGCATGAGCCATCGCGCCTGGCTGGGAAATGATTATTAAAAAAAAAAAAAAAATGTGTTAGGCCGGGCGCTGTGGCTCACACCAGTAATCCCAGCACTTAGGGAGCCTGAGGTGGGTAGATCACCTGTGGTCAGTAGTTTGAGACCAGACTGGGCCACATGGTGAAGTCCCTGTCTTTACTAAAAATATAAAATATTAGCCGGGCATGGTGGCGTGCCTGTAATCCCAGCTACTCAGGAGGCTGAGGCAGGAGAATTGCTTGAACCCGGGAGGCAGTCGTTGCAGTGAGCCGAGATCTCGGCACTGCACTCCAGCCTGGGCAACAAGAGCGAAACTTTGTCTCAAAAATAAATAATAAATAAATAAATAAAAATAAAAATTATAGATACATATATACACATTCATTTAACAGATACTGAGAGTTCACTCTGGGCCAGAAACTCTTGTGTTTGCTGCAAGCCAGAAAAAGTCCTGTGGTGGGAGGGAGAGGAAATAGGTAGATCAAAAATAAATACATGCATGAATGCTGTGCTGGGAAAGGAAAGAGCACAGGGTACGGAGAGGGAATGTCAGCGGGGAGGAATGGGGTGGTACCTTAGATGGTCAGGGAAGGTCTTACTCACCTCCCTTCATCCCTGTTCTTCCTCTGCTTCCCTCCACCCATTAGAAAACAGGGCAGCCCTAAAAAAAAACACACACACACAGCAAGATTTCAGTCAGGACACCCTTGAGGTAAGTAAGATTCCTCAAGTAGAGGAGGAGGAAGAGAAGGCAGTGCCTCCCTCCTTCCCTATATTTAGGGTGATAAAGCTGAACGATTTCTGTGGGACTCGGAAAAGGACTCCCTGCATTCTCAAAAGCTGACAAGAAGCTTCTGTGAAGACTTTGAAGAAATCAACACTTTCTTCACCAGTACAAGGGCTTTGAACTAAAAGCGAGGACCCAGGGTACCATTCCATGTTAGTTGCCATTCAGTGATAAGTGAAATTTGGTTGTTATAAACGGGAATATGATTACTCTGTTGACCTCAAACCTAAAGGAAAACTTCTAAGAGTTGAGCTTTAAAATTCAAATCTCGGCTGGGCATGGTGGCTCATGCCTGTGCTTCGGGAAGCCGAGGCAGGTGGATCACCTGAGGTCAGGAATTCCAGACCAGCATGGCCACCATGGTGAAACCCTGACTCTACCAAAAATACAAAAAATTAGCCAGGTGTGGTGGCAGGTGCCTGTAGTCCCAGCTACTTGGGAGGCTGAGGTAGAAGAACTGCTTGAATCTGGGAGGTGGAGGTTGCAGTGAGCCGAGATCTCGCCATTGCACTCCAGCCTGGGTGACAGTGAGATTCTGTCTCAGGAAAAAAAAAAAAAAAAAAAAAAAAAAAAAGCCGGGCGCGGTGGCTCACGCCTGTAATCCCAGCACTTTGGGAGGCCAAGGCGAGTGGATCACGAGGCGAGGAGACGGAGACCATCCTGGCTAACACGGTGAAACCCCATTTCTACTAAAAAATACAAAAAATTAGCTGGGTATGGTGTCGGGCGCCTGTAGTCCCAGCTACTGGGGAGGCTGAGGCAGGAGAATGGCGTGAAGCCGGGAGGCGGAGCTTGCAGTGAGCGGAGATCGCGCCACTGCACTCCAGCCTGGGCGACAGAATGAAGACTCCATCTCAAAAATAAATAAATAAATAAATAAATAAATAAAATAAAATCTCCTCTAATTTTTAAAACATATATAATCAAAAAGGATTTATTTTTGTTGGTACCTGTGATAACTCAGAACTACTAACCCCCCCAAATATATAGGCATACATTATTATCTCAGAAAAATGAAAACATACCAAAATACTCAGTCTTTGTTCACAGTTCTTACGTTAACACTAAAAATGCCACAAAAGACAGCTGCTTTATTTTGTGAGTATTTAAAAATGAGCATTTATTGGTAGACAGTATTTTTTAAACAAATATAGGGCAATTACCAAACTTTTAGTCATGTCTTTATTTTAACAAAAAATGTAAACTTACAGAATATCAGTTTTCTGAAAAATCCCATAGCCAGAGTAATAGGATTATAATTTATTTTAACAGTTACATATGCCCCTACATTTATTACCTTTTCATCTGTCTTTTCTAAGTCTCATAGCTGAGAGAGCTAGAAAATACCTTGCAGTGGTCTAAAAATCTTTGGAAATCTTATACAACCTTTAAAAAAATCTGTCTCTGATTGTAATTACTACAACTATTCTCCCCAAACCTCCTGCACATAGTATCCCTTGCCAATGATAGCCATCAACCTACAAACTAGAGAAATACATATCCTTAGCTGGAAGCATGTGTACTTAGTGTCAAGAATCTACAGGTTTCTGGGTTCCTAGGGACAGCGTGAATACAGCCATCCAAAAGACAGTAAACAGCAACTACTAAATACCACTGATGCCGTGGTTCACGGTAGATAGGAGCAGGAATAGTAGTAGACCAATACAGAGTGACAAGCTTGAAATCTTCCAATGATATAAACCCACTTTCAATGAGATATTAAATACTTAACAATTTGTAGAAGTCCTTGTGGAAAATGATTTGTTCATAAAATCGACCTCAGTAAATTACAGGCTAGAAGTTGCCATGGTATGTCTCTCCACATGTATCATCACCATTTCCCATGGCAGAAAGTGGAGAAAGTGTGGTGTGCCTTGAAGATTGGCACTTGAGATGCTGGCCAGGTGAGTTGGGGGTGGGGAGGACACAGTTCAGAGGCTTCTAATTGTGAACTATCTTTCCTTTCCCTACTGCCACATCACCCTACCACACACGTACCAACCATGGGCTATAGACTATCAGTACCTCGCCACTCATCAGGAGACGAAGTGAAAAGTAGTTTATTCCTCCCCTCAAAAATTTGGGGACCCCCTCATCTGTGTGCAAAGCACTTTGCTAGGTGCTATGTAAAGGTGTTGAGGCATGGTGCACTATTTGAGGACGGTCATAAAAGATTTATGAAAGTACTAAGTAAAAGCTTAGCATGGGTGTGTCTAGAAATGGAGTGCTGAAGTACCTTTAAACCCCCGGAGTGCCTCTAATGAAGCATGAAGGTGTTGGGGCCAATATCTTAGTCCACAGCATTTTCTCCCCTCACCACCACTTTTTTCTTCTCTCATCCACCAAACAGAGCACAAGCAGGAACCTGCACCTCTTCGATGGACAAGAGATCTGCAGCAGGGTGGGTGGGCAGATGGAGACTTTCTTTATTTTTGAGACTGAGTTTCACTTTCGTTGCCCAGGCTGAAGTGCAATGGTGCCATCTCGGCTGACTGCAACCTCTGCCTCTCAGCTTCAAGTGATTCTCCTGCCTCAACCTCCCAAGTAGCTGGGATTATAGGCACCTGCCATGACGCCTGGCTAATTTTTTACATTTTTAGTAGAGACGGGGTTTCTGGCTAGGCTGGTCTCGAATTCCTGACCTCAAGTGATCCACCTGTCTTGGCCTCCCAAAGTGCTGGGATTACAGGCGTGAGCCACTGCACCCGGCCCAGATGCAGATTTTCTAAAACCCACAGCTATTTTGATGTTGTTGTGATTTTTTCCCACAACTTTTACTTCTTTATACATTTTTTTTCACCTCTTCTCATTATCACTCCTTTCTCCAGCCTGCTCAAATTTTTCATTTCCTAATTTTTTTTTCTTTCTTCTGCCTAAGTTATATGAAACAGCTGGAGATAGAGCTCTTACAGGAAGCCAAGACCATTGCTGAAGAGGAGGGGATAATTCCCTTTTAGATCCTAGAAGTTAGATTCAGGCACCACATATTTTCATGCATGTGTGTATTTTGCTTGTCATTTGCATCGTGGTAGAATCCCTAAAATAAGAATTTAATTGATATTAAATCTTGTCTACTATGGACCTGTGAACCCTACACAAATAGGGGCCCAGGGATAAAGCCACTCTTGGTGTTGTTAAGGAAAGAATACACATGAAGCAATAAAGCATGGATCAAAGAAGTCCAAATTTGAATTCTCCATTATCACTTACTGGTTGTATGGCCTTGGGAAAATTTCTTTTCTTTTTTTTTTAAGACAGAGTCTTGCTCTGTCACCCAGGCTGGAGTACAATGGCGTGATCTCAGCTCACTGCAACCTCTGCCTCCCATGTTCAAACGATTCTCCTGCCTCAGCCACTCGAGTAGCTGGGATTACAGGCACCTGCCATCATGCCCGGCTAATTTTTTTTTTTGTATTTTTGTAGAGACTGGGTTTACCCTTGTTGGCCAGGCTGGTCTTGAACTCCTGACCTCAGGTGATCCACCCGCCTCAGCCTCCCAGGCGTGAGCCACCGTGCCCAGCTGGGAAAATTTCTTAACCCCTCCAAGCCTGTGTTCTCCTGTGTAAAATGGATTAGCTATTGCTGTTGCTGATGTTAGTATCACAAATGCTCTTCAACTTACAATGTGGTTGTAATTCCCATAAACCCATCATATACTGAAATTATTGTAAGTCAAAAATGCATTTTGGCCAGGTGCAGTGGCTCACGCCTGTAATCCCAGCACTTTGGGAGGCCGAGGTGGATGCATCACTTGAGGTCAGGAGTTCGAGACCAGCCTGGCCAATGTGGTGAAATCCTGTCTCTACTAAAAATATAAAAATTAACCACATGTGGTGGTGCAGGCCTGTAATCCTAGCTACTCAGGAGGCTGAGACAGGAGAATTGCTTGAACCCAGGAGGTAGAGGTTGAAGTGAGCCAATATTGCATCACTGCACTCCAGTCTGGGCGACAGAGTGAGACTCCGTCTCAAAAAGAAATAAAAAGAAATGCATTTAATATATGTATAACCTACCAAACATCACAGGTTAACCTAGCCTACCTTAAACGTGCTCAGAACACTTACATTCGCCTATAGATGGGCAAAATCATCTAACACAGAGCCTATTTTATAATAAAGTGCTGACTATCTCATGGTTGTTTACCCTCCTGATCACGTGGCTGACTGGGAACTGTGGTCCATTAAGGCTGCCCAGCATCGTGAGAGAGCATCACATCACATTTCACTAGCCTGGGAAAAGGTCAAAATTCAAAATCCAAAGTACAGTTTCTACTGAATGTGTATTGCCTTTGCACTATTGTAATGTTAAAAAATTGTTAGTCAAACCATTGTAAATTGGAGACTTTCTGTATTTTGGTTTCCAAACATCTTACCTTCTTAGTTGTTCTCTGCTTGCATCCTAGGCTGTCTTTGCCTCTCAAAATGTAGAATTCAGAGATGACTATAATATGCCAGACCTACTATGACCAAAGTGACGTATATCAAACTAAACCTTGCTTGTCCTGGACAATACACATCAATGAGCACAGTACAGGTTTGCGTTAGTGAGACTGACAATCACACACATTGTTGGTTCAGTTGTAATTAATACCTGCAGGTCTTCTCACCAACGGCACCAATAGTCAGGTTTCCCCATGCCCAACCCTGACTCTTATCCATAAATGCAACTGAATTAACCAAAGAGTAGTTTATGTTTATCTCAGTGACATTCCATGCTACATGAAAAGCAAGGGAGATATTTCACATCCCGTATCTACTAGTTGTCTGTGGTTTACTAGTCCATGTAAAACAGAAAAAGGTGGTAGTCTCGGGTAGATTGTGAGGAGAATGGGAAGTGTGACAGAAAGAACCAGTGAGAAGTGTCATTTCAGAGCACAGGAAATACAGAATCAACTCTCGGCTAATAAAAATTACTTTGTTAGAGTTTGTCAGTAGTTCTATCTGTCTGCCTCCAGCTATCACTCCTCTATCTCTTCTACTTTTCACAGTATACTCAGAATTCTAAGGACAAAAACTCTGAGTCAGGTAGACTTGGGGGAGAATCATGCCTTTGTCATCTATCTGCTGTGTGATCTAGACTAAGCAACTTAACCTCTCTGAGCTTCTGCTCATCTGTAAAATGAGAATAGTTTTACCAAACTTACCTAGTTATGAGGATTGAGTGATAAAACTGCTAAAGCAGCTGGAACAGGGCATCTATTCACCTGGTAGCAACTATAAAAATGGATAGGCATATGAAAAGATTGGAAGGTTTGTTGGAAGACTGTTGAGAGCCCATTCTAATGCGATGGCTCAGATGAGAGGTACTGAGAGCTGAAACATGGCAACTATTCCAAAGGGTGGCCTTTGGGAAATCAAGGCCTCCAGGACAAGGTTCAAGCTCCTGGCCAGGCACAGTGGTTCACACTTGTAATCCCAGCACTTTGGGAGGCCAAGGCAGGCAGATCACGAGGTCAGGAGATCAAGACCACCTGGCTAACATAGTGAAATCCCGTCTCTACTAAAAATACAAAAAATTAGCCAGGTGTGGTGGTGGGTGCCTGTAGTCCCAGCTACTCGGGAGGAGGCAGGAGAATGGCATGAACCCGGGAGGTGGAGCTTGCAGTGAGCCGAGATCTCACCACTGCACTCCAGCCTGGCCAACAGAGCGAGACTCCGTCTCAAAAACAAAAAAAAAGGTTCAAGCTCCTTTGCATGGCATGCCTCTTTTCTCTCCAATGTGGCCTGCCCTCTAGCTGTACTGAACTACCTGTAGTTTCCTGAATATGCCTCGATCTTTCATACTTCAGTGCCTTATTCCTATTGTTCTCTCTGGAAGGCCAATCCAGTCCAACTAGAAAACTTCAACTCACCCTCCAGATTCACCACAGATACAAGCTCCCCTGCACAGCACATGTTAGGTGATATTTCTCCATGAGTCTCCTGCACAACTTGCAAGAAAAACACTGAATGCATTTTGATGTGAACTATATCTTCAAGAATGTTTGTATAGTGAACAGCCTTGGAAGACAAAGATAGTGTCTCCCTCCAAAGCAAGGCAGGCATGCTTATGGCCCATTATAGAAGATTTGGGTTCTCAAAGTTTTGGATTCCTCTCCTGTAACACAACCCACTGCGTGTACAGGTGACCTCTGGCTCCCTTTGTGTTGCTGTGGGATTTGAGACCTGGGGATTGATGCAAAATTGCTGATACTCTGGTTATTACTATTGCTATGAGCAAAATAATGTCCTCCATCTCTGACACTGCATCCGTGAAATAGTGGCAGGGTAACTTATTGGCTTGCAAGCAAGATAAAATTTGAGACTCCTCACATTTTTTGGTAGCATGCTGTCTCCTTTCCCATCTCATTCCACCATAGGAATATAAATTGCTCCTTAAATTCTGTTCTTATATTGTCCTGAACATTACAGGCTTCATCATAATATTCAGTATCTATATATATATTTTTTTTTTTTTGAGACTAAGTCTTGCTCTGTCATCCAGGCTGGAGTGCAGTGACACGGTCTCGGCTCACCGCAACCTCCACCTCCTGGGTTCAAGCAATTCTCCTGCCTCAGGCTCCCCAGTAGCTGGGATTACAGGCATGCGCCACTGCACCTGGCTAATTTTTTGTATTTTTAGTAGAGACGGGGGTTTCACCATGTTGGCCAGGCTGATCTTGAACTCTTAACCTCAGGTAATCTGCCCGCCTCGTCCTCCCAAAGTGCTAGGATTACAGGCATGAGCCACCACACCCAGCCAATATTTACATCATTTTCTTATAGCTGTATTTCTAACATCTATCCATGCCTGAAACACATTTTATGCTCATAATTTTGTTGAATGAGTGACTGTGGCCAGCCCTCAGCTGTTCCTCTAAGACTCTTCCCATTGCTGGCATATGTCCATGGAGATGCCCAGTGCTCTTGGCCTTAGTTCTAAACATCCTATGCTCCCCTCTGCTGCACACCCTTCATCACGTCTCCTTTCCTGCCCCTTCAGTTCTGGTGCCTGAGTTACTTCTGGCTCCTGTTTCCTCCTCTCCTCCTCTCTGTTGGAAATTGTTATATTCCTCATCTTCACTTGAGGGGTCCCTCAGGACCTCTTTACTTAGTCTCCAACTTCCTAGACAACTACCAGGAGTAGAGAAAACTCTTATTCTATCATGTAACCTATTTTTTTTTTTTTTTTGAGATAGAGTCTTGCTCTGTTGCCCAGGCTGGAGTGCAGTGACACGATCTCGACTCACTGCAACCTCTGTCTCCTGGGTTCAAGTGATTCTCCTGCCTTAGCCTCCTGAGTAGCTGGGACTACAGCCATTTACTACCACACCTGGCTAATTTTTGTATTTCTAGTAGAGACGAGGTTTGACCATGCTGGCCAGGCTGGTCTCAAACTCCTGACCTCAGGTGATCCACCTGCCTTGGCCTCCCAAAGTGCTGGGATTACAGGCATGAGCCACCACGCCCAGCCCACGTAACATATTAATTACACATTGTGTTAAACGCAAAATCAGATAAACATGTCCTTAAGCTGATGATAATAAATGCAGACTAGACAAAGACAACCCCAAGTACAGGACTTTGTAATCCTCTCCCAGAGACCTGTCTCCCAATTGCTCTCCATCTATTTAATGGCATTTTGGCACAGTAATTCATTATTCCCTCAGTCAACGAAGATCTATTCAATTCTTAATAATCGTAAGGCAATGTCCTTCATATTGTGAATAACACAAAAGTGGATTACGTACGATTTGTGACCTCAAGATGCTTACTGGCTCACGATAAAATATGTACAAGTTATGTGCCACAAAAGTACTGTAAGATTTCAGGTAAAATCACATCTGCACTGTCCCTGAAAATATATTAAGCTTTGGACAGGTCTCAATGTCAGCATACCAAGGATATCATTGTTTTAAATGCAGTAAGTTGAAATTGCTAAATAGGCTGTTCTTACTATAATGAGCTTAAGGGGGGAAGGTAGTGTTATCCTAATATTCTATTTTTTTTTAACTACTTCTTCATCAGGAGGGTTTATTTATTTATTTATTGGAAACAAGCTGGAGTGCAGTGGCCTGATCATGGCTCACCCCAGCGTCTACTTCTGGTCTCAAGCGATCCTCAGCCTCCCAAGTAGCTGGGACTACTGGAGCGGCTAAGTTTTGGGGGTATGGAGGTCAGTGGTGGGTAGAGACGGGGGGGGGGGTCTCCCTATGTTGCCCATGCTGGTCTCAAACTCCTGACCTCAAGTGATCCGGTCGCCTCGGCCTCCCAAAGTGCTGGGATTACAAATATGCGCCACCGCACCGGCCCAGGAGGATTTCCTGAACGTGCTAAAGGCAGTTAGTGTGTCGATGTCTTGGTGACCAAAGGTAGATTTCGGTCAGCAGCTTTCATGTGCCACAGATTTAGTTTTGGATTAGCAAATGTTAATCCACATGTAAACGCTATGATCCACACGTTTAGCAATCTGATTACATTCTTTAAATGTACGTTTCAACCCCTGTAATCCTTAATTAAATTTAGATGTGAACAAATTCACATTTGTGCCTTAGTTTAATTTATAAACAAGTAATCTTTTATCAAAGCCTCCTCTCCCATAGCAAGCCCACAGAATCTAGAAATCCCTTGATCTCGCCTCTGCTCTCAGGACAGAGCCTTTTGTGTGCACAGCTCTCACAAATTAAAGAACTTGACTAACTTGAAGAAGAGATAATAAACCCTCTCCCCTAAAGGCGATTGTTCATTTGAGAGCACTCTTCAGAGATATTTTTAAGCCCGCGCTGCAACTAATGGGGGCAGGGAGAAGAAGAGCCGTGCCCAAATGCACGGGGGCATCTCCGGGGGCTTATCATCCGGAGATGCCTCCAGTGGAGCTGACAAATCTCTGAAGTGGGATAGAGCGAGATTTCCCTGCACAGGGCCTCTGCGTGTGAGGGAAGGAAGGGGTGGGCGGGGGCCATCAGGGGAGAAGCCTCCGGCCTTTCCCTGTCTCTCAACACCAGCCCTCCCCGGCCGCCTCCCCCTTCCCCAATCCTCAACTAGCCGCGGGAGAGGGGCACCGGAGGCTGGCTGGGCCGGGAGGCTCGGCCTTTGTGGCTCTGTCCCCGACGGTGGCGCGGGGCAGAGGGGGCGGGGACGCGGGCCCGAGACCCTCAGCCGGGGCTTGACCCCCAGGTGCATTGTCCGGCTGGGCCCATCCCCTCCCCCCAGGGCTCCGACCTCGCCGCCCCCGGCCCCCTTCCAGCGTCTCCCTCCGCCGGCCGCGCCGACCTCCCGGTCCCAGACCAGGGGCCAGATGTAGAAAGTAGTCCCAGGCTGGCGGCCGCGGCGCTGTCCACTCCGCCACCCCCGCCCTCTGCAGCCGCCGCCTCACTCCGCCCCCAGCCGGACTCTCAGGCCCCCAGGTTCTCGCGAGCGGCCGTCCAAGCACCGGCCTCGCTGCCGCAGAGATCCGCCCCACACCTCGCCACGCCGGTGCCGGAGCCAGAGCCGGGAGCCGGGCTACGTGCGTCCAGCCGCCCAGCAGAGAGCGCCCGGGGCGGGGGCGGCAGGCGGACAGCGGCTCGGGGCGGCGGGGGAGCATGCCCGCGCGGCTACGCTGAATGGCGCCTCCTTTGCGACCCCTCGCCCGGCTGCGGCCGCCGGGGATGCTGCTCCGCGCCCTTCTGCTCCTGCTGCTGCTCAGTCCTGTGCCAGGTGGGCGCGCTTTCTTCTGCTTTCTCTTACCGCTGTGGGGCGGGAGCAGGCGCGAGTGGGATGGGGAAAGAGGAAACGATGGGGCGGGGGGAGCGCGCGGCGAGGTCCTCCGTGGTGGCGCTGACCGCCGGCCCCCGCTCTCGCCCTGCGGCCTGTCCGGAGCCGCTGGCTGCAAACATGAGTTGCCCGCGGGCTCTGCGCTGCGCGGGCAGGGCTGCGGGAACCTCTCCGGGCGCACACCCCTCCCTGCTGCGCGCCCGGGGCTGCCGAGTTCTGGCGGCCGCTGTCCACTCTGGTCTCTTCCTTCTCGCGCCATTGTCCCGGCTCCGGCCGCGTCCCCGCCTCCGCGACCAGCCGGGCTCCGGGTAGCCCGCCCGCCCGCCGGGGCCGCCGCGGCCGCACGTGGCTTTATTTATATTGTTTCCTTAGTGGCAGCCTCGCCGTGCAGGGGGCGCCGCGGTTCCGCGCGGCTTCCCGTGTCTGCAGTGGGAGTTCCCCCACGTTTTAGGGCTGCGAGAGGGAATAGGTGAACTCATAGCCCCAGTCAGCACCAGCTTGCCGGATCCGGGTCGAGCCAGGAGGAGATGGGAGGGTGGAATTGGCAGGGTTGGAAGTGAAGTGACCGATTTGTGCCCCGGAGAGGCAGGGAGAAAGGTCCCAGAAGTTGGAAAGGAAGGTAACTAAATAGAATTTATTTCCTACAGCTAGATATTTGGGGGCAGGGCCTGAAGTGTGTACGGATCTGAAGATTCTTCCAAATTCTAGGTTCGCCTTGCACAAACTTGGATGAACTCATTTTTCTACCTTAAGTCCGTTTTGGTTTGCTAGAAGAGATAAAAACATAAAGTGAATGGGGTGACGGTAGGAGAGGTGTTCAGGACAATGGGTTATTTTATTTATTGGCAGGTTACAAACGCCAGACTTTTTCTGGAGTGATTAGTTTGTTAGGCTTGAAAAGAGGATCAAAGTCAGATGTGGCTGAGAAACACAATGGGCGCCTTCCGGAGTGGTCCGCGCCCAGCGCTGAGCTGTTAGGGTGGCTCGCGTCGCCCTGGGCATACATTACGGGAAGCAGGGAGCATTGAGGAGTGAGGATTCTGAGGACCTGCCTTGAGGAGAAACAAATCATTTCTGGGGATTTGTAATCAAGGAACTACAACGATCAGGAGGAAGATAAAGCAACGCTTCCCTCACACACACCCATACTCCATTCGCCCCCAGTCAATACGCGAGACTTTAAGACCGCCTGTGCACTAAATGCAAGAGGTGACAGAGCATTATTTGATCATCGAATGCTTTATCCTGGCGGGGGCCAGGGGCGATGTGTATATACTTAGGATAAAGCCTTTCCTCTGCTCTGATAAAAATGTATATTGGTTGATTAAGCAATCTCCTATCCCTATTAGACAGTAAGGACCAATTAGTCACGCATTTTTTCCAACAGTTGGTAGTTCTAAAAAAGTGAAATAAAAGTTTCCTAATCCGATCACCCACTGAGTACAAGCAGCAAGAGTTACCAACTTTTCAGAGTCTATTGTTTGTCTTTTAAATACCTCGCTTGCTCTGCAGAAATTAAGTAAATGGATTTCTTTCAAGGAGAGGAGATAGAGTCCCTGCTGTAAAAGGGCAGATAGAAAAACGCAAACTTGTAATTTGTCACAAAAGATAAACGCAGTTCCCAAAGGAGTAGGTGCCAAGGGTTCCAAGAACACTTCAAGGAACAAGGAAATAAACTTGCTTGTTCACAGAGTTGGAGTTTTGCTAATGATTTCTTGTAAAATTAGACTTTTACGACTTACTCTGTTCAAGATCTTTTTGACAAGCTTGTAAAAGCAAACAGCTTGTGCTCATGAGTTTTCCTGATGATTCTGAAACTCTAGCAAGGAACTTGAGAGAATTCATACAAGGCATAGAAGTTATTGAAACTTTCCCTATGCTTTTAGTGAAGATGTAAAAAGTAATTTCTCTGACTTGTTGAAAGAGTTTGCTGAAATTTAGATTGGTTCATTAAGGTGTTTGTAAGCTAACTAATAAAATTTGTTAAACTTTGTCACCTTATACCCTGAATATGTGTTTTACAGTTGTGTGTTAAGGAACATTTTATGCCTGTAATTCTGGATGTGCCGTTCTCCTTTTTTCCTTACAGGAGTGTGGTGCTTTAGTGAACTGTCTTTTGTAAAAGAACCACAGGATGTAACTGTCACAAGAAAGGACCCAGTCGTTTTACATTGCCAGGCTCACGGAGAAGTTCCTATTAAGGTCACATGGTTGAAAAATGGAGCAAAAGTGTCTGAAAATAAACGGATCGAGGTTCTTTCTAACGGCTCTTTATACATCAGTGAGGTGGAAGGCAGGCGAGGAGAGCAGTCCGATGAAGGATTTTATCAGTGCTTGGCAATGAACAAATATGGAGCCATTCTTAGTCAAAAAGCTCATCTTGCCTTATCAAGTAAGTGTTTAAGTTTTTGGTTGTTGACATTTTTCATTGCTACCTTTTGATGATTTCTTGCTTTATTAATATAATAATCGCCCAGGTCATGCATACATTAAGAATTTTACTGGAGGTAATAGTTGATGCTGAGGCGTATAGAGAAATCTGAAGAAAATACATATGGAAATTCAAATGAGTAATTGAGAACAGAAGTCAAATTAGGTTTAGAACACCAAGTAAAATGAAACCTGTAGAGGTGGCTTTATAAAAATTTTAAGCGTTTCACACAGTATGAAGAGTTGGATGTAGAAGTTTGGCCAACAACAAAAGTTGTTCTAAAATTTAATCTTATGGAAATTAGTAATTAATGAAAACAATCACAAGCAAATTTTTCTGCTTTGCAGATGGCTCTTGAGTGCTAAATCTTCCTTATAGCACAACCTTCCATTTCTCTGACTGCTTTTAGATCACCCATGTTGCCTTTTAATTGTACAAAGGGCATTGGTCAGTCACTCTTAAGCCTTTGAAGTATTCCTAGTCTTTTCCTGCTGGGAGGGAAAGAGATTAAGGCCATTTCCATATTATGCCTAATGGACTTAAACCCCGTATCTGCTCACTTTTCCCCTATTGTCATAAAGTGTGCTATCTAATGATTTCTTTTGTATTAACAACCCCATCAGATCAACCATTTGTCCAAGTGATCCATTGCTTGGTGGCTGACCTGTAACTGTTGAGTGTAAAGATGGGCCTAGGACAAGTGCTGAACTCCTTGAGCCTACTGAGGCTTTACACCTTTTTCAGGTGATGAAACACAGCTCTCAAGTTTAGTAGACTAAGTCTTGAAAACCAAAATTCAATCTTAAAAAGTTTTAAGGCGTTTGACCTTTTGTTAATCCACAAAACATAGATTTTGCACTGTACCTACAAATTGATCTTTTACAAGTTGAGCAATAGGTAGATGGCGTTCTTGAGATAAAGACATAATCTTAGCTGGGCTGGTGGCTAGCCTGTAATCCCAGCTGTTGAGGAGGCTGAAGCAGGAAGACTCCTTGAGCCCTGGAGTTTGAATCCAGCCTGGGAAACAAACTCCATCTCTTTAAGAAAAAAAAAAAAAACAAAAACCCGTAATATTTAGGAAATAGTTGTTTCAAGTTCTATACAGTTGAAATTTAGGAAGCTATTGGCAGGAATTTCCTAGGTGACTACTGTTAACAGTTCATGTTCCATTTATTTCATCCTTATATTACTGATTTATTTTATTCTGTAATAAGGATTAATTGTAGAAAATATATTGCAAGCAAAGATATTTCTATATCGATACATCAGAAAATCAGAGGTTTGCAGTTCTAGCCACACTCCTACCCCTGCCAAAGAATAGAATAAACTGAGAGGATTTCTCATTTTTCATTTCTTCCTTCCTCTCTCTCCCCTGCCTCCTCCTCCCTTCCTACTTCCTTCCTTTATCCCTCCCCCCTCCCTTCCCCCTTCCTTTCTCTGTCCTTCCTCCTGTCCCTTCCTTCCCTCCCCTCCTCTCCCTCCCATTCTCCCTCCTTGCTTCCCTACCTTCCTTCCTTCCTCCCTACCTTCCTCCCCAACCCTCTTCTTCCTGTCCCTTCCCTCCCCTCCTCTCCCTCCCATTCTCCCTCCTTGCTTCCCTACCTTCCTTGCTTCCCTACCTTCCTTCCTTCCTCCCTACCTTCCTCCCCACCCCTCTTCTTCCTGTCCCTTCCCTCCCTCCGCCCGCTTCCCCCCCTCCCTCCCTCCCTCCCTTCCTTCCTTCCTTCCTTCCTTCCTTCCTTCCTTCCTTCCTTCCTTCCTTCCTTCCTTTCTTCCTTCCTTCCTTCCCCCTGTAATCATTGGCCAATAATTACTTTTTTCATGGTGTAACAGTTTTTCTATATAGTACTGTTTTAAAGATAATGTGCTTTTTATGCTTATATTCTGTTCATTCAATTTTTGTCCAATGTAAACTTGTTCTATAGAGTTGTAATTTTCCCACCTTTTGGGATTTGTAGAATCTTGTGTTTTCATCTTCAGGAACTGTAACTTATATTATCTCTCAGGGATAGGGAGTAGGTGGTAGAGGTGGCCAGATAGGCCATGAGAAGATGAAGCATTTATCATGACCACACATTGTTTCCAGGACCTCCTGAGAAGCCTGACAAAATTCTGGGTCTTCCAGAAACACTTGGAAAAACACAGAGCTTTCTAACTTCATAAATAAAATCTGAATGGTGTGTAATAGGTGTAACAAACAAAATGTCAGGACTGGCTTTTTAAATATCTTTAGATTTTTGCATCTTTATAGAAATTATCACTGTTAAATAATTACATGTGATTCATTTTGTAGGCAATTGTGAAGTTTTTTATGTATCTTTTAAATTAACAAAGTTCTGATATCTAAGAAATAAGTTTAGATGATGGAGGCTCAAATCCCTTTATCCTATGTTCAGAGTAAATATATACATATACATACACAGGAAGAGAATAGGCATTAAGTGGACATTCTGGTTTTCTTTTCCCCCTTGTTTTTAAAGCTAGTTCTCTTTTCGGTATTGATAGCAGCAGGGTACAAGTGTGTTGTTTTTCTTAGTCAAGGATTTTATCAGTAAGCATATTATTTTTGTTTGTGCAGAAGCACAATAGTACAGCACCTGGAAATCTAAAACTTTAATCTGTGCAAGTTTTAGATTTTTAACACACAGGCAATCAAGTCTTGGTCTCTAAGCTTAGGAACTAGAAGCTGAAAGTTGCACTCTAGGCAAGAATTCCATTATTCATGTGTAAATTAGGAATTCACAGGGTTAAAAGGTTAGAAACTGGCCAGGATGAGGTTTACCCTTGTGATAAAGAGCAGATGACCCTCATTCATTGGCCAAAGCTTTCATGTAGCTCTTCTGCAAAGTTAGTTATTGCCATGAATTGTTCTTGAGGAATGCAGAAATT